CCAACTTTCCCCCTACCTCTATGGGTTCATGAAAGGTAAAAGTGTGCAGACTGTATTTCCACCTTTCTCACTGCACACACCTCTACTAGTTTTACCACTTTTCTTGATCTAAAATCTGCATTTGATATTGCGAACAGAACCGTTATACTACATGAACTAGCCAAAATGAATATTGGTGGTAGCTTACTCTGCTGGATAATAGGATACCTGTCAAACAGAGTATCCTCTGTCCTTTACCAAGGCTTCAGAAGTGATTCTAAAGAAATGTCCTTAGGTACACCGCAGGGAGGAGTTCTTAGTCCCATGCTATTTAATATTCTGATTAATGCTCTCCCTAAATGCTCTACCTGCCTCACCTAAACATATAGCTATAAGCTATGCTGATGATATCATGATCCATACAACAGGGCATAAGAAGATGAATACCATTCTTAATGAAGTTCAAGCAATTTGTAATCGACTAGGCCTCATAATATCTTCCTCTAAAACTAAGATATTAACAAGCAAACGACATCCCCCACCCATCTATTTGCAGGGTGAAATCATTGCTACGTTAAAACTTACAGATATCTTGGTGTAGATGTACCCTTTAACAAATCCACTATACCACAACTAAACAAGAAATGTAAAGCTAGGCTAAATGCTCTCAAAGCTGTTGCTGGCTACAATCCCAACTATGGTGCAAATGTGAGAATCGTGAGAAGATGTACATAGCCTATGTTAGGTCCTTAATTGATTATGCTGCTCCCATGTTGATATTAGCTAGAGAAAGTTCTCTCCGACCCTTGGAGTTAATGCAAAATGAAGCTCTCAGGATTATTCTTGGCTGTCCCAGATCTACAAAAGTTCTTAACATGAGGAAGGAGCTTGGTATTTCTAGTATCAGTGATAGGATTGTTGAAATTAACACTGTACTCGGTATTAGAATGTTGAGAAACGAACCAGACACTGTCACAGTGAATCTTACCAAGTGTCTAGAGGTAAATACACACAGATCTAAATGGATTGTGAAAACGTGCAATTGCATTAAGTTTTTATAACCTGCATGAACTGTATCACTGTAGGCAACAAGAGCATTTTCACCCTCCATGGAAGATGTGTTCATTTAATATCACATACCTACAAGTCCCTCCCAAGAAGCTCATTGCTAGTAATCCCTTCCTTATAATCTCTGTTTAGAGCAACTGCTCAAGAAGAAATTTTTCGCCTAGCTGGTAGTAACAAGTTATCACAAGTTATATACACTGATGGATCTAAACAGGAGTCTTCTGGCAGGGCTGCATCTGCTATTGTTGCCACTTCCCTAGTTAAGAACGATAATAAATTTGTTGAGTTAGGCATAAGAATTAACAACTGGGCGTCTACACTGCAAACTGAATTGTTTGCAATCCTAATGGCGCTAAAGCTAACCTATGACACTGAGCTTGACTCTATCATCATTACTGATTCTTTGTCATCATTGAAGGCTCTTGACTCATGTAATGACTCCAACAACATGCTCATTGGGGAAGCCAGGTATAGATACTCAAAAATTAGGGACAAAGGAATTAATGTACAATTGCTATGGATCCCATCACACATTGGATTACTCCTTCATGATAAAGTTGATATGTTAGCCAAGAAGAGTATCGAGAAGGAGAATGTAGAATATAACTTTGGTATAACTGTGTCTAGCATTAGGAATAATATTAGGAGAGAAGTAAATAATGAAAATGATTGTTATAGGAATGCAGTTTAGAAGCCTGAGTAGATCTATAACCCACTATGATAACATGAACGTAGATAAGTATGTTTATGGAGCAACTTGCAATGTGAACAGACTGACTGATGTTGTAGTGGCCAGGCTTAGGCTTGGTTACAATGTACTTCTGGCAGTTTGGGAGACACACAGATGATGATCAAACTAAATGTAAATTATGTGATCAGGCATATGGTCACTCTCTTGAACACTATGTGCTTAATTGTCCACTTATTGAGGAATACAGAGACAGACAGTATAATAACCTATGTGACATGTCAAGATATCTTATTAATGAAAATAAGATACCAGATATACTAAGCAAATTTCCTAAATTTGCTTGTAACAGATAAGTGAACTATAGATATGTAGATATAAATCCATATGTATTCCTGTTAACCCTTTGGGGCCTAGTTCCTAGGCCTTTTGTGTATCCATATGCTCTCGCGCTCCCGTCCACAGGATGGATATGGGTGCACAATAAACTAGCCACTTCGGTGGCCAAAATCTAAAATCTAAATCTCTCTAACCTGAGCCTCACTATCCTCGTAGAAACTTTTGACTGCTTTCAATAACTTACCTCCTACTCCATACATTTGCAACATCTGTCACATTGCCCCCTATCCACCCTGTCATACCCCTTTTTCCAAACCCATAAATCCCACAAACCTCTTTACCCTTATCTAACTACTGTTCACCTATATGTTTCATAAGAACACAAGAAAAGAGGAACAATGCAGCAGCCTTTGACCCATACTAGGCAGGTCCTTCACAAATCCATCCCACTAATCGAATTATTTCCCCAAATCACCTTCGACGCTACCCAAACAAAAAGCTTTGATAATTCCATTTACTCATGTGCAATCCCACTCAGACCCAAACCCCCTCTCACTCTGTATTTACCCAAACCTAAATTTGAAACTATCCAAGGTTTTTGCTTCAATAACCCTACTAAGTGGCAGACTGTTCCACTCATGAACTACCCTATTTCCAAATCAGTACTTTCTATATCCTTTCTAAATTTACTTATCCAATTTGAATCCATTAGTGCGGGTTCTCTCTTGGAGGAGACATCTTCAAGACCCATTATATCCTCCTTTTTTAATCCCCAAACTTTGGATAAATGGTTTATAACCGAAAAGTTGAAGATTGAGACACTTATGCAACATATGGGAATCTTTCTTGAAGAAATGTTTCGCCACACACAGTGGCCTCATCGTCCAATACAAATCAGTAGGGTGTAAGGAAGGAGGAGTTTGAGGTAATCAGTCCCTCAGCCTGGAGTCGATGTGTTCCAGTCCATCATCTTGTAGAAAGTGCTGCATGGGGCCGTAGACGTGGCTTACATACTGTAGTCAAGAGAGGCAAGCAAAAGTGAGGTCATAGTGGTACCATCCACTAGTCGAAGTAGGTCTTCGCTAAATTTTAGACGAAGACCTACTTTTGATACAAAGATTCTTCAACCTTGTTCCCAAACCCTTTTGTCTCTAAAGATTGAACAAGGTTGAAGAATTCTTTGTATCAAGCACCCATGATGTTACAAATGATTTGTATTGGACTGATGAAGCCACTGGTGGCGAAACGTTTCTTCAATAAAGTGCACTAGTGTCTCAAACTTCAATACCCATCTTCCAATTATACACTTCGATCATGTCTCCCCTTACTCTTCGTCTTTCAAGTGAATGTAATTTAAGGGACTCCAATCTTTTTTCATACGGAATATTTCTAATGCTATGTATTAATTTTGTCATTCTAAGCTGAATGTTCTCTTAACGAATTTTTATCCATTCTGTAATATGGAGACCAGAACTGAGCTGCTTATTCTAGGGGAGGCCTTATCAATGATATATAAAGCTTTGTAGTGTACGAATGGTATATAATACCGACAAGATGAGAGTAAGACACATGTGCAACATCTGGGTACTTTATTGTAGACGTTTCGCCTCCAGTGGCTTTATCAATACAAATTCCAGGACATAACTTGAAGACAGTAGAACTATGTACAGAAGATGAGGTAATCAGTCCCTCAACCTAGGAGTAGGTGCGAACAGCACCATAGTCGTGAATTTGAATCTATTCAGATTGATGGACTGACCACATCGACTCAAGGTTGAGGGACTGATTACCTCATTCTCCTCCGTTCTTCAAGATTCTCCTTTGTTTGGACTGATGAAGCCACTGTGTGGCGAAACGTTTCCTCAATAAAGATACCCAAGAGTTGCACATGTGTCCCAATTTATCGATATATAAAGCGTAGTATAAACCCCTGGACTTCTGTTGCTTACACTTCTTGATTTTAAATTCCAGGAATCTAGTTGCCTTATTACGTACGCTTAGGCATTTCTGTCTTGGGTTTTAAGGTTGCTGCCCTTTCCATAACCTCCAAGTCCTTTTCGCATTCTGTACGGGTAAGTTTTTACATTATTTAACTGACAAGTGCTAGGGTTATGAACATGAATGCCGTATCTAAAATTTCACTGAAACTGATTAATAGTACCATCCCTCTCTGTTCTCCAGGTTTAAAGCAACAATCGCTATATTTTTAAAATCGGGTTGTGGGGAAGTCATTATATTTGTACAACCTTCACCATGGTCAATGCTTCACTTACGAGGAAAAAACATTAATATTTTATCTGTGACAGCCTGTTACAAAGCAATTAAAATGCTTATGGGTAAATAACAGTTATTGTTATGGAATAACAACGTCTACATTTTATACCTAGAAGAGTTTAAGAGAGTAAGGTTTTTATTATTTAAGTTTTCATGTAAAGTCGGTTCGGGGCATAACTTTGATGGTGTCCCGTGCAGCTCAAAATTTAGGTATGGCCCAAGATGTTTGGATTCAAGCAAAATTGTGATTATTGCTACAAAAAAAAAACAAGTCTCATATATCTTCCTTCAATTTTTTCCTGGTTTGTGAAGTTCAAAGGGAAAAAAATATTCATTTGGCAACATTTAATTACCCTTTAACAGTATATAATTGTTTTAGGGCCCAAATTGAAAAAAAATATTAAGAAGCACTCAGGGAAGTCAATATTTGCGTATATTGATTGTATATTGAACTTAAGATTTCCTGACATCTTACTTAAAGACTACTATAAAGCGATTTTACAGCTTTGATTCAAATCACAATTATTCATTACTGTCATGGATCATTTCAATAACATGAAGGGAAAATAATAGCAATAAAAAGGCATGATCTTTGTTAATCTCATTTATTATGTATAACAGCGGTGACAAGGATCCAGGAAAATGGTGGTGGACGGAAAACTTACTTCCCGAAGTCTGAAATCATGAAATATGGACTTATTACGGTATCAAATTAATTCACCATTATGTCAACCAATGATATATTAAGCTAAGGTACTAACCATTATGGGTCATTCAACCGTATTCAACTTTGCCAAATCCGCGGTACTTACTTAACCCAAGTCCACCGTATCCACCTTTGCCAAATCCGAGATGTGCACCATTTTTGCCAAATCCAAGCTGTCCGCCCAGGCCATAACCTCCAGTACTTCCTGTAAACAAAGAGGTACATCATAAGATAAAAAGTAAGATATCTTATTTATAAATATTAAGAAAGGATATAGTTACATCCGCAGTACGAAGAACGTTGGACAATGTTTCAGTCTTACCGTAGCTCTTGCTCAGTACGAACGTATGTCCTCCTTGGCTACCTAAGAAACAATGAAAGCAATATTACTATCTTGTTCATTTAGGCTTCCGTAGGGAATCATTCTAGTGAAATATTAATATATTGAGGTAAAAGTACCCAAATGATAGTATTCTTACCAAATCCACCATTAAATCCTCCACCATAGCCGCCTTGTCCTCCAAAGCCGTTCAAAACACCACCATATCCACCATATCCACCAAGACCACCAATCCCACCACCACCACCAAGAGGATGTCCAAGGCCCAGAACGACTGGTCCACTGTAAACACCAGCCGTCACCGCCAACACAACCATTACTGACAGGAAACGCTGAAAAAAAACGAAAATTATGCGGACACCAATTAATGATGCCATATAATCATAGAAAATAACTATTTAGCGAAGCAGACAACTAGTTTCATTTCGCAATATCACATAACCTGACTCCAACTTAAGAGGTCATTGTGACGTGGGTTTTGGTACTGGTTTCTATCTTGATAACTAGTGATTTTCTGTTATTTAATTTTTACTTCATTAGGAAAAATACCATGCTATATATAAACACCCGGTGGGAGACGGCCGACTTGTTGAAAAAAAAAAAAAAAAAAAAAAATGTATATATATACATATTATATATATATATATATATAATATATATTATATATATATATATTATATATATATATATATAATATATATATATATATATATATATATGTATATATATTATATATATATATATATATATATATATATATATATATATATATATATATATATATATATATATATATATATATATATATATATATATATATATATATATATATATATATATGTATGTATATACACATACATATTCAAGATCTTTTACAAATATTGTTTGGTACCATGTTTTGGGTGTGGTGCTGTTGAGAAGGGGAGCAACACTGGTAGAGAGGGTGTGTCTCTGGGAACATATATAGGGCATGTGTCGCTTCCCGGTCACCGTTACCTTCAGGACATGGACCTCGGCGTCATGTCTGCGTTTCAAGTCAGTAACACAAGTGGTACGTAGCATGAGAAGGGAAGTAGTCAATGTTGTGAGCATGCATAATCCATGAAGGCCAACGCACGTGAAGTGTCCTGGTGCCAACATTTGACATCACAGACCTGTTCTTAGGAATCATTCAGAACATTTTCGGAAAGGTGGAAATATCTTAAAAAAATAATGGGATTATGGGATATTACACAATGTCAGGCAGTATATACGTATGTATGTATGTATGTATGTATGTATGTATGTATGTATGTATGTATGTATGTATGCAGGTATGTATGTATGTATATATAATATATAATATATATATTTTTAATAAAAAGATATAATTATATATATATATAATATATTTTATATATATATAAAATAT